CTTAGGTAAAAACAAAAGAAAACAAAAAAAGTAAAAGAAGTGCCGGCCTGAAGCACTCGGGGGACTTAGGCAAGATCATAAGTTTGAGTCAGACCCTGTGCAGAAAGAGGGTTGGGGAGGCGTGAGAGGGGAGGGAGGGGAAGGACAGGGAAAGGAAGGGAGAGAGAGGAAACATTACATGCCTTCATTAAGGCGTGAGATTCTTCTCTCTTCTTGCTGGGCCCTGTTCCGGCCTCCCTCCACAGGCACCAGGCACACATGCAGCACACTTACACACACACAAATAAGACACTAAATAAATCTTCCAAACATGTTTCAAAATCTAAAAACAAATACACCCTCTGATGAGAATGCAACATGCAAAATAGTACTTTTGACATGTGTTGGTTTACATGGGATGCACAGGCACAAGCATTACACATGTGTTGGTTTACATTGGATGCATAGGCACAAGCATTACACACAGGACACGTGGGCATATGCATTTACACATCATCTTCGTTATCCAGAGCACGCAGATAACCTCATCAAGAAGGAAGTCTCAAGTCACTGCGTTCCACAATAGCAATAAGCTAAACAACTGAAATGAGCAGAGGAGGAGCAGGTATTAACTTCTTAACTTAAAGCAATCCTCTATGGCACTATTTCAAAATGCTCTCTTGGTCTGAAATTTATGTAAATTGAATTCATCTATCATTAGTTATTACCAGTATAGCTCCATTAAAAAAGTTTTATATAACAATTAGTTCTTAAAATCATTACATTTTAACTAGGCCTGCGACATTATTAAACTAGCTATAAATATGAACCATATTTTATTTGTTATACCCAGATGCCTGAAAAATCAACAAAAATATCCTTAAGTCTTTCTCCAAAATGTCTTCTAATAAGAGTCTTTCAAAGGTTTCAGGTAATTGGGATTAGCCTGAAATATTAATGCATATCAGATTCTAATATATACTAAAATGCTTATATAGACTGTTATAATATATATTCTGATAGAGTACATAATATAGAATATATACAGATTCTAACATACATATATCCTCTGGTTATGAGTGATGATTTCTTTTGTGTAAACACAAATGCACATGAACGCACACATACAGACTGGTCACTCATATGTGCAGACACACACGCATGAACGCACACATACAGACTGGTCACTCATATGTGCAGACACACACGCATGAACGCACACATACAGACTGGTCACTCATATGTACAGACACACGCGCATGAACGCACACATACAGACTGGTCACTCATATGTACAGACACACACGCATGAACACACATACAGACTGGTCACTCATATGTACAGACACACGTGCATGAACGCACACACATGCACACACAGACACAAAGACAAGGAAGGTTACCCATAACCAGAGAACAGCCATTGACTCAATGTATCTTAGTGCGTATAGCTCCTGGCAGAGATAATTTCTTCATTTGGCAGTTTTCAATAGTTACACAAAAAACTTCTAATATCAGAGATTTACACCTAAATGCAAATTTTAGCTCAAATCTGTTTCTACCACCTCACACAAGCATTTTCTTTGCATTTTCAACATGGTTCTATAGATAGACGAAATGATTAGTCCACATTATGTACTTTACAGGGCACACGCATCTGGTTCATTTAAGATTCAGTCAGGAGAGACTCCAAACCCACCCTGCTTCCAATAGGATGGCTACTACCTATAAACACAAAATTTCTTCATAAAAAAAAAAAAAACCCTCAATACCAGCAACACCATTCCTTATTATTTATAATTCAGAATAATTTATAATTCAGAATTTCTCTCTGTAGAGTGAGTCTTTGTAATACCAACTCAAGGACCAACTTCTCATATCATTCCACTAAAATAAGTTCTTCTTCAAACTTCAGCAAACTTTTGTACATTCCTTATAGGCAGAATGGCTCTTGTGTTAAACATTCTCTTCAGTGACAGAAACAATGGCTAACTGCCACATTTCACTGACGAGCTGTGACTGTGTGGAAGAATGGAACTGGGATTCCAGGAATGCTGTGTGTGTGCAAGTGTGTGCATGCGTGCGTACATGTGCGTGTGTGTGCGTGCGCGTGTGAGAGAGAATTGAAGAAGCTATCCTGGCTCGTGTGCAAACCCTGGGGCAGGAAGCTTCATGCTATGGACGGCAGAGCAGAAAGACATGAGCTCTGTCTCTGTCCCGAGACAGCAAGTCATCACATCATTTTTGGATGAGAGCTACATGCAATTCATCAACCAAAGCTTGCTATATTTATGTTAAAGAATGGGGCAGGGGATTATCTGTTATTCCACTGGGGCAAATCATGCACAGGACACAGGGGCAGCTTTTATTCTCAATCCCTGCTGGTAATCTTCAACTCTGGCAAAGAGAAAGGAGAGAAAGGGAAGGACATGTAAAGTGAGAAGACGCCCCTGCCACTTCACCCTCTGCGGCAGAGACCAGCAGACAGACGCCCCTGCCACTTCACCCTCTGCGGCAGAGACCAGCAGACAGACGCCCCTGGCCAGAACTGTTTGTGAGTGCATGCGGCCTGTGCCACGCAGATGACCACCACGTAGCCACAGTAACCTCTCTCTGTCTCTGTCTCTCTCCCTCTCTGTCTCTCTCTCTCTTTTCCTCCCTCCCTCCCTCCCTCCCTCCCTCCCTCCCTTCCTTCCTCCCTCCCTCCCTCCCTCCCTCCCTCTCTCTCTCTCTCTCTCTCTCTGTCCCTGTCTCTCTCTCTCTCTCTCTCTGTCTGTCTCTCTCTCTCTCTCTGTCCCTGTCTCTCTTTGTCTGTCCCTGTCTCTGTCTCTCTCCCCCGCTTTGGCTTTGTTTCAAAACAGGGTTTCTCTGTGTAGCCATACCTGTCCTGGAATTCACTCTGTAGACCAGGCTGTCCTTGAACTCACAGAGATCCACCTGCCTCTGGCTCCTGAGTGTTGGGATTAAAGCTGTGTGCCACCAATGCCCAGCAACAATGCTTTCTTTTCTAATGTATATTGTCCTCAAGCTACTGGAATGACCTAGGGTTTCTTTGTACTACCCAGAGCTACTTGAAAAATACCTATGTTTGTGTGGACAGACGTCCATAAACACTTTTGATCCATTAGATGCATTAAGGTTTTTTTTAAAAAAAAAAGTCAAGGATGTAAGGAAGAAAGACTCGGGTAAGAACACACAATGTGGAGGGGAGGGAGCTGACGGAGTTTGCAGAAAAGCTTTGTGTACGCTCTCCTTCTGGACCTGCACACATCTGGGCCTAAAAGAAAACTACCCAAGGGACACCAGCGGCCAATGTGAAGCTCAAACTACATGTAGCAAGCATTCTCCCCAGTGAGTGGATGGACACTTACACAGTCACCTCATCGCATTTTCTTAGCTATCAGGGGCTTTCTCATGAGTGAGCAACCCAAGTTAGGAAGCCACACTTCACAGGAGATGTGGATGATTTCAAACCACACCAAACTGGCTTCCGGAAACTTTGTGTTTTACACATATTATTCTGTTAAACAACTGTAACAATGTAGAGAATAATATCTGAAGAAATGAAATAGTGGGATAGTGACTTAATGAGTCTAAACTAAGTAGTCTTAAACATCAGTCTGTATATGTGTATGTGTTCTGTCTCTGTCTGACCTCTCCCCCCCCCCCTGTGTGTTTGCACGCACATGTGTATTTGAATTAGAGTCGCATTATGTAGCTTAAGGTGGCCTTAAACTTGTGGCAATCCTACTGCCTCAGTTTTCCCAGTACAACAGATATTATTATACTTTATTACTTTGCTTCTAAGCCAATAAAAAATACGGCATCAAAATGCAAACGACGACAGTGACAAAGCTCAAACATGGCGTCTCTAAGAGTGGGACGTCAGCCAGTGACAAAGCTCAAACATGGCGTCTCTAAGAGTGGGACGCCAGCCAGTGACAAAGCTCAAACATGGCGTCTCTAAGAGTGGGACGTCAGCAATGTGTTTTACAGAATCAACATCTTCTAGAAGACAATAGCTTGAACAGCTATGTAGCATGCTAGGAATTAACACCAAGCTAGCAATGTGTTTAAAGCCTGAGCTGTCACTTAATGCATACAATACAGAAGCAAGCAACACAGAGTGTATTAAGCACATGTAATGGGTGTGCCACCTGGATTCATAAGCCAGTTTATAGTCCACAGATTTTATTCCCAGTCATTTGTAAGTCACTACATTACAGATCTATAAATGAAGTCTGCACCTAAAACAGATATTCTAATTTATTTTACTGAATCTAGAAAATTTGAAAGTATAAATAGCATTATTAAATAAAGAAAACTGTTTCTATCTCTATTCTTTCATAACACAAATTAGGTATTATGATAATTTATGTTAAAAATAATTAAATGTTAAAACAACAGTTTCATAATTAGAGGTTTTGCTTGCAAAGGTGGAACTGCATTTGACTCATTTTATGATTTATATGTAGATCTCTAGAAATACTGTATTTTCTTGTAACTTGCTCATGAATTATATCTTCACATCAGTTTTTTGGTTATTATTCCACAATGATTTCTCAGACATATTCAAGATCATGGGTAGCTTCTTTGACGGGGAAATGCAGAAAATAAATGACGTGTCGACCATAAATTAGCATTCCCTTTCTGACCAGCTGGGTCGTGTTGCCTTTTCAAAATCCTCTGTCCCAGGACACAAAATGATAATCATCTAAAAGACCTCATTAAATGATCAATATATTGACATAACCTCTATAAGGAGGCACATGGCATTTTAATTGATTCCTTGAATCCATTAACGGACTATTAGACCCAAGTCTCCAAAATATATTGCAAGAAGAATATTTAGTTGTTTTTACTTACTAATTCCCCTCAGGGTATAATTAAAGGTATGTGCAAAGATCCCAAAACTTTTACACTTCATAAAAGAGTATAAGAAGTTCAGCTCTTACTGAATCTTTGTGCAAAACAGTATCTTAAGAAAAATTAAAACAGGCAAAGTTAAACCATGTACTCACCAAAAAACTCCCAAATGCTGAGTTAAATATCGCAGCTGCCTATGAAGAGAATAAACGGGAGACAAACTCACTGACAGTAAAAAGCAGGACAAGAAAGATTACCATTCTCCCTTTCCCCAGTGTTCAAAACCTCAGACGCTAACCCCACTACAGAGTGAAGTCATCGCTGCTTTCCAAGATGCCAGTGGCCTATAGTTTACTAAAATAGATGACTGCAGCTCAGGAATTTCATCAATAACGAGTCTCAAAAGCAGGCAGGAAAGGACTTGCTAAGAGATGCCGGTCCAAAAGAACCATCGTCGGCAGGAAATCAAAGCTGGGTTGTTACTGGTTTGCCTGTTGGAACTAGGAAACCCATGCATGCATAACGACACTCATCACGAAGGAGGGAGAATCGCACTTGAGAACCAATGTCAGGACAGGTGTGAGCAGGACGACCTTTGTCATGCTAATCATGTCTTGGTTAGAAACAAGCAATTGGTACCCAAAATTAAAGAAGAAATGATTGGTTCTGCTTACCAAAGCATCCTTGAGCACACGGCAGAAGCTATGCACCCCTCAACTAAGTCAGTCCCTGTGCTCCATGAAGCTACGCCATAGTCCTGGTGGCTTCTCACATTACTCAAAATGGGGAAAACGTGTACAACATCTGATTTGAAGAAAGAAAGAGAGAAAGGAAGGAAGGAAGGAAGGAAGGAAGGAAGGAAGGAAGGAAGGAAGAAAGAAAGAAAGAAAGAAAGAAAGAAAGAAAGAAAGAAAGAAAGACCAAAACTAGGCAAAAAGCATGTGGAGAAAACCTATTCAAATGTCCAGCAGGTCCAGAGCAGTGCCAGTTAACTGTTAGGGACATTCCCGGCCGCAATGCACAGAGGGCATCAGTTTAGGAAGTTTGACTGAAGTCCAAAGCACGGCTGGGCTGCAGCTCGAAGTGCCTCCTGCTCCAGAGGAGGCTGCATTGAGAGTGAATGGGTAATGAGATCGCCGGCTCCAGAGAGCTTGGCTCTCTTATGCCACTTCATAATTAATTCAAAGCCTTGATAATGTCATTAGAGTTCTCCTTTGCTAGTCCTATCAATAAAAGATGGCACTGGACCCCAGCTCTTGTGTGGCAACAAGCACAGACCTGGGAAACCTTTGCTTCCTGACAGAGACAGTGGCATATGGCGTTCTGTGTTGTACTGGGAGAGATGAGGAGGAATAAGAAGATTCAGCCACATAAAATATTACAAATTACAACTATAAAATATAGCAACATATTTTAGGCATCTTCCTAGAATCCTGCTATGGACAATTCCAGGAAAATTTCATGTAGAGAGAAAAGAAAGGAGATACAAGTGGGCTGAGGTCAGAGCAGCAGGGAACGCTGGCTCCCTTCCTGTGAGTACGCACTTCCCAGAAGTCTGCACACACCGCGTGCACCTTATGCTTAAGATAGATTTAGTTTTTTCAAAGAAATGAGGATTTCCCACCAGAGCTCCTCCTTCCAAATCATTTTCAGACCCTTTCCCTAACCTTGGACAGCAAGTGAGCCTGCTCAGCACTTACAGAAACGCCGAACCACAAAAGCTGAGAAAGTACTAAGAGCTACTCCTGACCCAGAGCCCTCCACCCCAGTCACTCCTGCCCGCGTCTGTGATCCAAATGTAAGTAATGTTTCATGTGCATTGGTAGCACAAGGAGATGTCCCCAGCCACCTCCCTGACTATTCAGATAGCGGGGAAGGTCTGAATTCTCTGCTATGCCATCCTCCTAGGCAGTATCAACAACTTTTGTGAAGTGGTCGATTTAGGGTTCTGGGTGCTCCGACGACCAGATGGAGTTAGATACTGAACCCCGTCTTGGGCTCAATTCTACTGGAGCAGCACAGGAGGGAATCACGACTTCAAGAGTTCCGGAGACTGATTTCTCATATAAGCAGCTCTCTCCGTTTCCTTCCCTGCCTCACTAAACTACTCCTGCTTTCCCTGAATTCATGACATCATGCTATTTCTTACACCTCTGCTCCCTGATCTAAGACGATTAATTCCCCCCTCAAGGGTGGGGAGAGGACCTTAAGCAACCCTCAGTTGTCTTAACCAAGCAGCGTGCAGACCACCCTTCCAGCCAGCCGCCCACACATAACTGTATATATACACAACATCCATGGGGCCTGAACAAACCCATGCCTGCCGTAAGACTCTCTGAGCTTCCCATGCCTGCCCTAAGACTCTCTGAGCTTCCCATGCCTGCCCTAAGACTCTCTGAGCTTCCCATGCCTGCCCTAAGACTCTCTGAGCTTCCCATGCTTGCCATAAGACTCTCTGAGCTTCCCATGCCTGCTGTAAGACTCTCCGAGCTTCCCATGCCTGCCTTAAGACTCTCCGAGCTTATCTGCCGTGGCACTCTCATTCTGTTGAACTCCATTCACACGCCTGCCCGCCCCACTACACGCTAAGGTCTTCTAAGGAAGGATGTGAGAGAGTTCATCCTAAGCATGAACTGACACATTCACAGAATTCCAGAAGGAAATAAGATGTCTTCAGATGCCAAAGTCTACCTCTCCTACTAAGCTAATCTATGACAGACCCAGAAGACTGGATCTAATACCTCACACCACAAGCAAGCAAAATCCTGTTTGGTTTTTCATGTCTGCTTTGCCATGGTCTTTCCATACTCTGACAGGACTGTGGAGCAAGGGATGGTAAAGCTGATTCTAGGTCACTTTATTCTCCTTGTGCCAAACATAGTCACTGACTTTAAAATGAAGTTAAGACTTTAGTTTTTCTCCTCATGTTGGAGATGGCTCTCGCTGGATGCTCACCAGCTGCGGACGAGCACCCATTCAAAGCAGATGTCACTGTGCTTTTAATCAACCCCGCCACACACACACACACACACAAGAAAAATCCACTATTGTCCTTCTTTCTTTTTCTTTTCTTTTCTTTTTTTTTTTTTTTTTTTTTGGTTTTTCGACACAGGGTTTCTCTGTATTGCTTTGGAGGCTGTCCTGGAACTCGCTCTGTAGACCAGGTTGGTCTCAGACTCACAGAGATCTGCCTGCCCTGCTTCCCAAGTACTGGAAATAAAGACATGCGCCATCAATGCACATATTTAAGAAAGAACTTTAAAGAAAACACAAGATTCGTGAGCTGACGTGATGTGAGCCGCTGCAAGCGGTCACCCTGGAGGGAAGACTAGGGGCTCTCCGGCACTTCACGTTCACTGCTGCAGCTGGACTTGGAGTTCTCCTGAGGTCCACACGCTAAAGGCTCAGTCTCAGCTGATGCTGCCTTGAGGAGGTGGAGCCTACTGGGGCCTCATCACCTGAGATCTACAGACGTCACTGGGGCCTCATCACCGGGGATCTACAGACATCACTGGGGCCTCATCACTGGGGATCTACAGACATCACTGGGGCCTCATCACTGGGCTGTGATCTACAGACGTCACTGGGGCCTCATCACCTGAGATCTACAGACGTCACTGGGGCCTCATCACTGGGGATCTACAGACATCACTGGGGCCTCATCACCTGGGATCTACAGACGTCACTGGGGCCTCATCACCTGGGCTGTGATCTACAGACATCACTGGGGCCTCATCACTGGGGATCTACAGACATCACTGGGGCCTCATCACTGGGCTGTGATCTACAGACGTCACTGGGGCCTCATCACCTGAGATCTACAGACGTCACTGGGGCCTCATCACTGGGGATCTACAGACATCACTGGGGCCTCATCACCTGGGATCTACAGACGTCACTGGGGCCTCATCACCTGGGCTGTGATCTACAGACATCACTGGGGCCTCATCACTGGGCTGTGATCTACAGACATCACTGGGGCCTCATCACTGGGGATCTACAGACATCACTGGGGCCTCATCACTGGGGATCTACAGACATCACTGGGGCCTCATCACTGGGGATCTACAGACATCACTGGGGCCTCATCACTGGGGATCTACAGACATCACTGGGGCCTCATCACTGGGCTGTGATCTACAGACATCACTGGGGCCTCATCACTGGGATCTACAGACGTCACTGGGGCCTCATCACTGGGCTGTGATCTACAGACGTCACTGGGGCCTCATCACCTGGGATCTACAGACATCACTGGGGCCTCATCACTGGGATCTACAGACATCACTGGGGCCTCATCACCTGGGCTGTGATCTACAGACATCACTGGGGCCTCATCACCTGGGATCTACAGACATCACTGGGGCCTCATCACTGGGCTGTGATCTACAGATGTCACTGGGGCCTCATCACTGAGATCTACATACATCACTGAGGCCTCATCACTGGGCTGTGATCTACAGACATCACTGGGGCCTCATCACTGGGATCTACAGACATCACTGGGGCCTCATCACTGGGGATCTACAGACATCACTGGGGCCTCATCACTGGGGATCTACAGACATCACTGGGGCCTCATCACTGGGGATCTACAGACGTCACTGGGGCCTCATCACTGGGGATCTACAGACATCACTGGGGCCTCATCACTGGGCTGTGATCTACAGACATCACTGGGGCCTCAGCCTTCCTTGTTCCCCCTTCTCTGTTTCAGATAAAGAGCTTCCTCTGCTACCTGTTCTGTCATGATGCACTGGCTGCCACACAGGCTCAGAGGGCAGGGACAGGCCACCAGGAGGCTCTGAAGCCACCTTGCTTCTTAAGTTGTTCCTCTCAGTGACACAAGATGACAAGCATAGTTGACAGAACAACATCGGCCCCCTCTAAAATGCTCCATTACATCTAGGGTCTTGTCTCATCCATTCAGGACTGCACCCTTACAACCTAGAATAGCCCCTGACTCACAGAGTACCATCTGTAAATGCTACGATTTTTTAACGACAGCTGAATATTCTACACAATATTCTCACTACTAACACCAACTGCATTTGCAAAGTATGGAACTAAAGTAATACATTTGATGGGCAGTGAGAGTGATGGTAACTGGAGAAACATGTTGCGACGGTCTATTAGCGCTGAGCTGACTGGCTTCCAAAGCATTGCATTTTTAGCTAGTATTTTGCTTTCAGTA